TGTGTATTGTTTGATTTTGTTTTGCATGCATCTATCATGCATGACGAATGTTCATATTTCAGCAGACTAATTATGTGTATGCCCTTGGCTACTGCAGTTATGGGTACGGGGAGTTCACACAGTCCATGGCAACCTGGCTGCAGACAACACTGTTGGACCATCTTCTGAGGAGCCCGTTCATCGGCTTGAGCATCGATGAGAGCACAGACCGCTGCCGCGGCAAGCACCTCATCGTGTTTGCGCACTTCATCCGCGAGAACCAAGTCGTCTGCGAATACCTGGCCCTGCTAAGCGTCGACAAGGTCGACGCTGCCTCTCTGCTCGCTCTACTCCTGTCTCACATCAACGCCATCGGTGTCGACCTCCGGCGGGTCGTGGGCATAAGCACCGATGGCGCTGCTGTTATGATGGGGTCGAAGGCTGGGCTTGTGACGCGGCTGCGGATGCAAATTCCGCACTTGGTGTCGTGTCACTGTATTGCGCACAGGTGAGCGTTGTTGTTTACCGCTACTGTACCTCGGGTTAAGTGCACTGGTGGTTTCCGCATGTGCAATGTGTATTACCCCACTCCCAAGGCCCAACATGTACCAATTTTTTTTGTTTTGACCCACCCTCCAGAGAGGCACTGGCAGCTAAAGCAGCGGCGGAATCCTTGCCAGCGTTCAAGATGATTGACGATGTCATCAAGGAGCTCGCTGAGTACTTCGGACGATCCGGCCCATGGCACCAGCGCTTCTTGGACCTGCAGGAAATCTTCACCTCCACGAACCTTGAACTTCAAGGCATTCATAACATCCGATGACTCTCCCGCGGTGTGGCTGTCATTAGGTTAGTCAAGGTTCTACCCGCCATCGTCATCATGCTCTCGGAGTGGACTGATACCCGGTTCTCTAGGATAGTGACAAGCTACCGCTTCTGGTTCCTTGTCACGTTCCTTGCTGACGTACTGGAGCAGCTAAATATCCTCAACAAGTCCTTCCATGAGCGTCAGGTGAGTTTTTCTTTATTGTGACAATGAGTCGTTATTAAACCACCCTGGTTCTGTATATATACACGTTCCTCTCCCTTCCTCCCCTCCCCCTCTTCCCCGCCCCAACCTCAGCTGGAGTACTCGGCCGTCCACGCGCGGATCATCCGCACAACAACCCTGCTGCAGAGCCGCTACGGGGACGCCGAAGACTTCCGCGGGGGACCGAAGGACCGTCTCACCATCTTCCTCACCCGTCACGGCCCGAGTGGTTCTCGCGAGGTCACAGCTGAGGGGGTTGACTCCGACGGTCGTCCGGCTTCCTTTACCTTCGTGCTGCATGAAGATCGCTTGCCTGGTTATCCGGGGGAGGGCGATCACGACGCGTGCCAGAGGCTCTGTGTGGCCATGGCGACAGGCATGGTGTCGAACTTGAAGGAGCGGCTGGGTGATCTGGGGAAGCTCTCTGGCTGCCGCCTCTTCTCTGTCAACCTCTGACCCCCTAACTGGGAGAGAGCTGCATGCAAGGCCCAGTGCCTTGACTGGTTCTTCTCCCTTGTTACTCTTTATCGTGCAGATGAGGCGGAGGAGATTCTTCCTGGCATTGACAAGCGTGCAGCCATGAGAGAGCTGCCTCATTTCTGCCCTGTCATTGCTGCTCTTCCCCAGACCGACCGAAGCTTTCGCGCTGGGCTCACGGCCATGTTGAAGACACCTGACTGGCAGGATTCTTACCCGAACCTGATGAAGCTGTGGATGGCGGTGGCAGTGCTTCCTCTCAGCACTGTGGAGTGCGAGCGCGGATTCTCTAGGCAGAATGTGATTAAGAGCTGGCTGCGTGGCAGCCTTAAAGATACTAGGCTTAGTGACCTCATGTGCATGTCACTGTTAGACTATGACCCGGACTATGATGCTGTGGTGGAGATATGGCGCGCTTACAAGAAGCGTAAGCCCTTCAACAACACCCCTCAGGCCAAGCAAGACGGCTCGATGAAGGGGAACGTAGTAGCAGAAGAGGCAGAGTGGGGTGTAGGTAGTAGTGACAATGTGGACGATCTTGATAATTTCGAGTAAAGTTCCTTGCTCCTCAATTTCCTCTTCATTTTGTCAATCAGGGAAAAAAAACCATCTATCTCTGTCCATTCAGCATTTTTGTCCCACACAATCCTGACCCCTAAGCAAAAAAATTTGGGGACCTCTGAAAATTCTGGGAAAAAACCACGGGTAGTCCTTAGCAATCTGAGGGCCTGCGTCCTAGCATCCTTCGAAGAGACCACAGGCTAAAGAAGCACACCCTGGGTGCTCTTGAAAACTCTGTTTTTGGGGGGTCAGAATATACCGCCCAGCCTGGAGCACTTTGTATCAAACGAAACGAAAAAAAAGGGAGTGCGATAGTTTGAAACATCGCGAGATGGCCACGACTCACCCTGCTGGTACACGACTTCGGTTGAACACGGTGCGACAAGCCCAAGAGTCGCACAACTCAACCAAAATGCACTCCATGCGACCACACCCCACATCCCGTCATTCAAGAGCTCCATGGGTGTGCAACAGGTTTCCTGAAGTCCATTATCTAGTAGTTTATCACTCGTAGGAAGCCATAGCTGCCACTACACAAGTCATAAAAAAATATCCGCCCGCTCATCGACGTACAACACCCCTCGCTACGTATAGAGTGTTTTAGCCTCGCGAAAAGGCGACCTCGGGAGTAGTAGTGTCGTCAATAGTGGGACGATCTAGGATTGGCGAGGAGAGGGGGAACGGACAGCGACGAGGGGGGGAACGGACGGCGAGGAGAGGGGGAACGGATGGTGAGGAGAGGGGGAACGGACGGCGACGAGGGGGGAACGGACGGCGAGGAGAGGGGAAACAGATGCCGACGAGGGGGGAATGGACGGCGAGGAGAGGGGGAACGGACGGCGAGGAGAGGGGTAACGGACGGCGACGAGGGGGGGAACGGACGGCGACGAGGGGGGGAACGGACGAGGAGGAGGGGGGGAACGGACGGCGAGGAGAGGGGGAACGGACGGCGAGGAGAGGGGGAACGGATGGCGACAAGGGGGGGAACGGACGGCGAGGAGGGGGGGAACGGACGGCGAGGAGAGGGGGAACGGACGGCGAAGAGAGGGGGAACGGACGGCGAGGAGGGGGGAACGGACGGCGAGGAGAGGGGAAACGGAGGCCGACGAGGGGGGGAACGGACGGCGAGGAGAGGGGGAACGGACGGCGAGGAGGGGGGGAACGGACGGCGAGGAGAGGGGGAACGGACGGCGAGGAGAGGGGAACGGATGGCGACGAGGGGGGGAACGGACGGCGAGGAGAGGGGGAACGGACGGCGAGGAGAGGGGGAACGGACGGCGACGAGGGGGGGAACGGACGGCGAGGAGAGGGGGAACGGACGACGAGGAGAGGGGTAAGGGACAGCGAGGAGAGGGGGAACGGACGGCGAGGAGAGGGGGAACGGACGGCGAGGAGAGGGGAACGGATGGCGACGAGGGGGGGAACGGACGGCGAGGAGGGGGGAAACGGACGGCGAGGAGAGGGGGAACGGACGGCGAGGAGAGGGGGAACGGACGGCGACGAGGGGGGGAACGGACGGCGAGAAGAGGGGGAACGGACGGCAAGGAGAGGGGGAACGGGCGGCAAGGAGAGGGGGAACGGACGGCAAGGAGAGGGGGAACGGATGGCGAGGAGAGGGGGAACGGATGGCGAGGAGAGGGGGAACGGATGGCGAGGAGAGGGGGATGAGAGGGCGAGAAGAGAGCAAGGGAGAGTGAGGAGGGCAGAGAACGGAGGGCGAGGGGAAGGGGGGAGAGGGCAAGTGGCAGAGGGGTAACCAAGGGCGAGGTGTGGGAGAGGGCGAGGGAAGGCGGATGAGAGAGCGGGGAGAGGCGGATGTGAGGGTGAGGAGAGGCAGGGTGAGAGGGAGAGGAGCCTGCTCTCTGCTGCCCACCCGCTCTCTGCTGTCCTCCCTGCTCTCTGCTGCCCGCCCGCTCTCTGCTGTCCCCCCTGCTCTCTGCTGCCCGCCCGCTCTCTGCTGTCCCCCCTGCTCTTTGCTGCCCGCCCACCTCCCTACCTCGCTCCGCTATCCCATCCTTTCCCCCATCCTCCCTCCCCTTTTCTCCCACCCTGTCAAGCATTTCCCCCATCCACTACCCCTTTCACTTATGCCCTCGATTTTGCTCCTCTTAAGGTCACCTATTTTGCAATCGCTTCTCCCCACCTCTCAACCAGTTTCCCCTTCAACCCTATTATTCACCCACTTGGTCGCCCGCTCTACTGTGGCTGTATGCCTCTACTAGTCACCCAGCATTTACCCCATGTTTTTTACTCTCCCGCCTTTTGCCGACCCATCCTGGCAGCCATCCGCTGCAGTTCTGGCACCAAGGGTATGGTGTGCAAGTCTTGCTGATTCAACTGATGAATTTTTGTTATTTTGCATCCATTCATGAGTGCAACCCAACTTTACAACCTATTGCACCAAGAAACAATTTGCATTTACTTGCATTCAGCTTGCGAGCCCTCGTTTTCTCATAGACCATTGTGATGAACAATACATTTGGATAGGTAATTAAAAAAAATCTTACTGTGTGTTACGGTGTTTTTGGATACGAGTATTTTGGCGCTTCCAGTCAAAGTGTTGGAAAATCCTGACGAGCGTGTTCGCACTTGACGCCGCTGCCATGCCTTCGCAGCTGATTTCACTCCAAGAGGCGTCTCCGCCCTGTATCCTGACGTTTCCGAACAGGGTGAAGAGATTCACTTCACCAGAATGAACACGCCCCAGCTGCAGCTTTCTTCCCTGTTGGAACTGTCGCGCATGGGTTTGGGACCTCATCGCACACGTTCCGAAATCGCCCATCCTCCCGTAGGTGTGGCTTATGGTGGGTTCTTATCTGCCCAGTTTGTAAAAAAGTTCAATGGCAATTTCGCTCTAGCAACCCAACAATGCCCCCACTTCAAGAGCGGCTCACTTGAAGCCCCCCCTATGCTATTTTAGCCTGTGGTTTTAACAAAAGTGTCACACAAAAAATACCCTTTGAAAATCAGGGTGATCCTGAAAAAGCGGCCACACAAGCCAGTTCCGGAACTATATGCACCACACCCTCAGTAAGTGAAGACTTTGCATTAGGAAAAAAAATTATCCTGCTACTCAAAAGCAAAATTACCCCACATCCTGTTATTATTGTACCATGCCAAAACCCTACAGCTAGGTCAGGTCACAGGGCACCCCGGGTACAGGGAGATCTATATTGGAATAACCTACAGCCAGTAGGGAGACCCTGTGTCACTCGGAGTCCCTGGTCTGCATGTTGAGCCGAGCCAGGAGCTCTTGCTGCTGCTGCTCCGGCAACGCCTGGAATATGAACACACTCTTGTCACCTATATCGTCCTGCACGTGCACGGATCAGGATTCATTATTCAGGATTGAGGATTGAGGATTGAGGAATCAGGATTCAGATTCAGGATTCAGGAATCAGGATTCAGGATTCAGGATTCAAGATTCAGGAGGATTCAGGATTCAGGAGCCGCTTGAGCAACCCCCAAAGCACCAGCTGGTCTGGCTCCCGTTCCCCTCCAGCCACTCCTCCCACCACAAAAGAGTCACATACCTCCCTTTTATGGTATGGTACCATGACTGGCCTTTGAGAATTCCGAAAATCTCACCATGAGTGGCCTTTGAGAATGCCGAAAAAATCACTTTGACTGGCCTTTGAGAATTCCGAAAATCTCACCTTGACTGGCTGGGTGAACTTGCGAGCAGCGAAGACAGCAAATAGCGCCATCCACACGGCCAACAGGCCCTTCTCAAATGTCACGTCCATGAAGCCGCTCTTGGAGGGGGCGGCAGGAGAAGGGGGGGCCAGGGGGTGGGGGGGGATGGGAGGATAAGGCAGAATGTGGAGTTTTGAGATCCCTCCAAACACGCCTAGACGGCCGTCCACAGTGCTAGCAGGCCCGCCTCCCATGTAACATCCATGAAACCGGACAAAGGGGGGGAAGAGAGGGACTCGGGGGAGGGAGAGGGGGGGGGTGGGGGGGGAGGATAGGAAAGGCAGTAGGGCGAAAAACAGAGCAGGGAATAGGGTGCGCGACAGAGGAGAATTTGAGGTGAGCAGCTGGGGAGGTTGCAGGGGGGAGATGGCTGGGGAAGGGACAGGGGGAGGCGGAAGGGACAGGGGGAGGTGGACGGGACAGGGGGAGGCGGAAGGGACAGGGGGAGGCGGAAGGGACAGGGGGAGACGGAAGGGACAGGGGGAGGCGGAAGGGACAATGGAGAGGGCGGAAGGGAGGGGAACAGGAGGGGGGAAACAAAGAAAGGCAAAGAATGGGAACTTATGCATGTGCACACGGGAGGGGAGTCTATTTTTGAGGCGCCTCAAAAATGGACTCCTCACGAATGGGACGTTGAGCACGGGCACATGAGAGGAGAAGGTAGGCAGGGAGGATTGGGGGGGGGGGAGGTGGGGAGTAAGGCAAGGAGGGTGTGAGACGTCTTACGAGGTGACCCAGCAGCAGAGTGGGGATGACGAAGACTAGCAGAGATGCCTCCAGCTTGCCGTAGCACAGCCCTGAGAGGGAAGGGGTTGAATTGAACAGGGGGGGAGCGGGGGGGGGGAAGAGACAGAAGAGAAAGAGAATGGACTAAAGAGACAAAGAAATCCACCGTAAAAGGTTTTTTTTTTACAATTGCAAACAAAAAAAAAACCTTTGAAAGGCTGTCCTGTAAGCAAGTCAAGGCTCAAAACGCCACCATATGCCTGTATCACATGCCGCTTCGCCTCCCTACCCCCACCTGTCCTGTGTACACGCCTTACCACATACCCCAGTACCGCTCCCAACTCCTCCCTTCCGAGTGAGAGCAGCAAACAGTGGCCCCGTGACCCACACCACCACCCCCTCCAGGCCCCACCACATACTGCACCACCCCACCAATCCAACTCCCTTGACCCATACTCTATCAAACAAATCCGCACTCATATGCCCTATTACATGCCCCATCACATGCCCCATCACATGCCCCATCACACGCCCTCTGACACATGCCTCCCCGGACACTCTTACCGCTTTCCATTCCTCCGCTCTCTCTCCCCCCTCACCCATCCCTTGAGCAATGAGCACCACCAAGCCAGTGGGAGCAACAAACAGCCCCATTTAGCCTAGTCACGGCACTGGCAGGCGTCAATCTCCCAATTTCCCAACCCAACTCCCAACTCCTCCCAACTCCTCCCAACTCCTCCCAACTCCCAACTCCCAAGACTTAGAGGTCAACCTCCTTTGCAGCCACCCACCTCCCCCCCACCCTCCCCTCCCCCCTGCCACCTTCCTTTCCTGAATACTGGTCCAGTCCAGAGGCAGCGTCAAACAGCAGCCCCACAACCCACACGTTACAAGGCGCCTCATAACCCGTCCCTCCTCACCCTCCTTCCTTGAACACTGGTCCAGTGAGATTCTGCTTTTGATAGACTCAAAAGCAGACCCACCTCCCCCCCACCCTTCCCTTCCTCCCCTCAACCACCTTCCTTGACCACTAGTCCAGTGAGCGCAGCGAACAGCGGCCCCACGGCCCACACGCCCCCCCCCACACCATGCCCCACCACATATTCCACCACCCCCCCCCACCAGCCAGCACGCCGCCCCCCCCCACCTACGTTCCTTGAACACTAGTCCAGTGAGCGCAGCGAACAGCAGCCCCACGGCCCACACACTTTGAGGCGCCTCAAAATAAGTGTTGAAGCGCCTCAAAACCCGTCCCTCTGCACCCACCTTCCTTGAACACTAGTCCAGTGAGCGCAGCAAACAGAGGCCCCACGGCCCACACGCCCCCGCCATGCCCCACCACATATTCCACCACCCCCACTCCCTCCCTCCCCGCATACCCCGCCGCGAGCGCCACTGCGCCCACCACCCCCACCAGCCACAGCAGCTGCAGCGCCCTCTTAATCGGCGTGACGTAGATGTGGATCAGGAATAAGGACGTCCCTAGACCCGCGGCGCCGAGGGCGAAGAGCGGGTCGAGCGCGGGGAGCGCGAGGGGGAGGAGGGGGGAGTCCGCGGGGAGGAAGGCAGAGGAGGCGGCGAGGAGGAAGGAGAGGGACGCTGTAACGAGGCCCGCTCGGTAGAGGAACACCTGGGGGAACGGAACGGGGAAGGGGACGGGGAGGGCGGGGGTGGCGGTGGGGAGCGGTGGGGAGCGGTGGGGAGGGGGTGAGGGAAGGGGTGAGGGAAGGGGTGAGGGAAGGGGTGAGGGAAGGGGTGAGGGAAGGGGTGGGGGAAGGGGTGGGGGAAGGGGTGGGGGAAGGGGTGGGGGAAGGGGTGGGGGAAGCGGACGACGGCAGTCACGGGAATAGAAGGTTGGCGAGAGCTGGAAGGAGGTGGGGTAAGGTGGCGGTGGCATAGGCAGTAGAAGCCCTACGACTGCTATTTGACTAGCTGCACCTAATCACTAGTAATGAACCACTAGAGAAGTACGAGTTAATCACTAGTTAATTAGTAATTAATTAGTAGTTCATCACCTCAGTGCGGTCCGAGTCTTCTATTTTCCACGGCCCGTAAACTCCAACGAACGTCTCGCCATCCCCCGATCCTGGATTCCCGCCACTTCCCTCCGCCGTGGCGCGCAGAGTTACCGCGCGCTTGGACACGTGGCTGGACCTGGAGTCGACACGTGTCCGCCTACCGACGCGCAGGGGAACGCGCGTCAAAAAGGCGGAAGAAGCGGGGAGGGTGCCCACGGGTGGCGCGGGGAAAGGGGAGAGCAAGCGGGATGCGCCGGTCGCGCAAGAATGGGCTTGCGGGGCGCATGGGCGGAGGATTTGCGCGGAGGGGCAAGAGACGCAAAGCGCCATGCCAGCTGGCGGAAGTAAAGGCGCGGAGAGTCAAGGACGGAGCGGCACGGAGGGGAACGAGAGCGAGAGAGAGAGTGAGAGAGTGAGGGTGTGATGGAGTGAGAGAGTGAGGGTGTGATGGAATGAGAGAGTGAGAGGGTGAGTGAGAGCAGTGACGCTGGAGCCTGCCTAGTTGAAGGATCGTCCAAGAATGGATGCTTGAGAGGCGATGCGGGGGGAAACTACTGCGGCGGACCGTCCACGAAATCTTTCATACTTTCGTGGACAGGCCCTACTTTCATGGACTGCAAATCAAACTTTTGCTTCTCCCGTGGGCTCGGTCCATACTTACGTGGACAGCGGACATACTTCCATGGACACACGCGAAATTGCAGGAAAAAGGCGTAATCATTCTGTACATGTGATGACGGGCGCAAAAAAAAATGAAAACAGAAACAGAGTGCGTCACAAACCGTCGTAAGCTACAGTGCCTCCATACCATATCCGAAACAGAATACACCCTAGATCTCGTTTGTCTCAAATCACGTAGCATAAAAAAGCGGAAACAGTCATTCCCAAGATCGGCATCACATTGTGAAATGGAATTGCACATTGCACCAAATATGGCTTAGTGTGGGAAAACCCATAGACCTTAACGGGTTAGGCTGCTGATTCCACAAGCTCCACGTCGGGTGAACCCTCCATTCGGAACATTCTGTTTCATTCTCTCGAGAGTTGACAATTTGCTACAGTGCGCAGGTCTTTCGGGCTGTTGCGATCCCTTCCACTTTTCTTCTTTGAATATTTAACTTCCTACTGGTTTCCCTCCACGTGGGACCAAACACTCGTCATTCCAAAATACACCCCTACTTCTTCGGGGACTTGGGAATTACTCCTAATGGTCAGTTCCCCGGGCGATCACGTACAATCACATTCCAAAAAAAAACAAACGCAGCCAGCCTGACATACACGCTTGATTCTAACGAGATTTAGGGAGTACCGCAATCATCAAGTGGTGCAAACTCCAAGAATGTAGGAATGAGGCACCACCACCAAGAATCGCTCAGACCAGCGGTACTGTGCCGGTCCCTATCTTTCAGGGTTGCGCCACCGCTCAGTGCACCTTCTCCGACGGTTCTGCTGCTGTGGCTGAGACTGCCGCTGCAGCACAGGTCCGTCCGGGAAAGGGTCGCCGCCCCAAGCCTGGGTGTGGCGGCGGGGTTAGGGGTGCAGGTGTAGGTGGTGCTGGAGCTAAGTCTCCTGATGGTGGTGCGCACGAGGGGACCCTGCCAGGTGCATCCGAGCAGCCGTCTCAGCAGCCACCGGCGTTGCAGCCGGACTCGCGTCAGCCGCAGCAGAGACGGGCGAGTGGTCTCCCGCCTGGGTGGCCTGGCGCTGGTGGTAGCGCTGGACGTGGTGGCGGTGCGCGTGGTGGGCTGCCGGGTGGTGGTTCGGGCGACGCACGCTGTCAGTACCTGCTCCAGACCGGTCCTCGCCGTGGCTTCGTTTGCGGTAAGATCGGTCACACCTCCGTCCGCTGTTTCCGTCGCCTGGACGACCTGTTTCGTCAGCGTTTCGGCCCGTCGCCCGAGCTCCCAGACTGGCACAGTTTGCTTCGTCGTAGGGTTCAGATTTTTTATCTGGATATGGATGAGATTGTTACTGCTCTGCATGTAATGTATGCTGATGACTATAGTGTGCTTCCGTCTTATTACCCCTTGTTGCATAATGTAGGTGTGCCTTGCTTAGACTCCCTTGCTGCGTCAGGCGTAGGATCCCCTGCTTTGTTTAGCCTTGGTGCTTCCGTCGCTTCTTCGCCTCCAGCCGCCACTGCCGCGCTCTCCTTCACCCTCGACTCTGGCGCTTCCCGGTGCTTCTTCCGCGACTCCACCACGTTGACACCGCTTCCTGTACCTGCCGCAGTCTCTCTTGCTGACCCCTCCTCCGGCCCAGTTGTCGCCCGCTGTTCCACCACCCTCCCCTACCCGGCGGTTCCTTCAGGCTCGCTCACATGACTTCAAATCCCCTCGTTCTCCAGGAACCTAGTTGGTGTCGGCTACCTTCATGACCTTGGCGTCACCACTACGTTTCCTGGACACGAGCGGTACGCTGTCTGTACCGAGGCCGCCACTGGTGCCCCCCTGTCCACGTTCCCACGGGACCCGGCGTCCGGTCTTTTCACACTGGACACGGTGACCCCCTTGGCTGCGACCCCCCCTCAGCTGACTACGTCTCCCCCAGTTGCTGCTGCCTGCTCCTGTCGGTCTCTCGCTCACCCGAATCTTCTTTGGCACCACCGCCTAGGTCACCCTGCGCTCCCGCGTATGCGTCACATGTCACAGTACGGTCTCGTCCTAGGCCTCCCCAGGTCGTTCCCTGAGTTTCCCTCCTCCCCAGCCCCACCTTGCACGCCCTGTGTCGAGGGCCGGCTCCGCCGTGTCCCTCACTCCTCCTCGTTTCCCCCTACTGCAGCACCGCTACAGACTCTGCACATGGACGTCTGGGGCCCCGCCCCCGTCCATGGGCCGCGTCGAGAGCGCTACTTCCTAGTGCTTGTCGACGACTACACGCGCTACACCACTGTGTTCCCCCTGGAGCGGAAGGCCGACGTGCCTGCCGTTCTTATCCCGTGGCTTGTCTCTGCCCGTGTCCACTGCCGTCTCCCTGTCTTGCGTCTCCACTCCGACTGTGGTGTCCTTGGTCGTTTCTGTCGTGTGGAGGGCATCACCCAGACGTTCACCTTGCCGGACTCCCCGCAGCAGAATGGGGTCGCTGAGCAATGCATCGGTTTGGTCATGGAGGTGGCTCGTACCTCCATGATCCATGCCGGGGCACCCCATTTTATGTGGCAGTTCGCCGTTCGCTACGCCGTTCGCTACGCCGCTCACCAGCTTAACCTGTGGCCGCACCCCCAGCAGTCTCAGGTTTCGCCGACCCTCCTCTGGTCTGGGTCACCTGGTGACGCGACTGCGTTTCACGTCTGGGGCTGCCTTGCTCACGTTCGTGCCTCTGGCACGGACAAGCTCACTGCCCGCACCCTTCCCTGTGTCTTCCTCGGCTTCCCCCTTGATGCGTCTGACTGGCACTTCTACCACCCGCCGTCTCACCGTTTCTTTCACTCCCGTAACATCACCTTTGACGAGTCCGTCTCCTCCTTCTGCCGCTTCCCCCACCTAGGTCCCCCGGTTACCCCCCCCTGTTCCTGGTCACCCCTTCCCCGGTCGTCGCCGCCCCTCCTCCTCCCCCTCCCCGTCCTGCCCCCTCTGGTGTGTCCCACGTCACCCCACTTCCGTCGGTTGTCCCGATTGAGGAGTCTGCTGACTCTGGTGGTCCTGCGGCGCAGTCCTCGCCGCCTGCCCCTTCTCAGGTATCTCCTCCTCTGCCGCCTCCACAGCCGCCGTCGCCACCGCTGTCGCAGCCGTCGTCGCCGTCGCCACCGCCGCCGCAGCCGTCGTTGCAGCCGCCGCCGCCGCCGCAGCCGTCGCCGCAGCAGTTCGTTGCCTCTGGGGGTGCTAGAGTTGGGGTGGGTACTAGTCCTAGGACTCCTGTCGTGGCTTGTCCCAGCGGGCCTGGGGGTGGTACCGGTGCTCGAGGGGTTCTGAGCTCTGGGGGTGTTCCATCTGGGGGTGCTGGCGTGGAGTGTTCTGGAGGTAGCTGCCAGGCAGCTTGCGGTCCCGGTGTCGATGTCACACCGCCGCCGCAGCAGTCCCTGCCGGTGTCCGCTCTTCGCCTGCTCGGCCTTCCGTCCCCTGACCCCGAGCCTGTGCCTCCTCCTCTTCGTGTCTACGGCCCTGTGTTCCCTCCTCCGGACTCATCTCCGTCCTGTTTCCCCCCTCGTTCCCCTCTTGTGTCCCCTCCTCGTTCTCCCGACCCGACTCCTCCGTCTCACGTCTGGTCTCGCCGTCCCTCCCGTGCTCGACCTGTCTCCCATGTCTCATGCTCTCACCCTATGTTGCTTCGTTCCCACGCGTCTCGTCCTCCCCTTCTCCCGTCGCCCCCTCCGTCCTCCCTTGTCGTTGCTCCCCCCCCCTCTGTCTGACTACCTGCGTGCCGCTCGTCCTCTTGTTCCTCGGGTCCTTGCCTCTCTCGTTACCGACCCGTCTGTTCCGGTTTCGAGCCTTGACGCCCTTGTCGCTGCGGTCGCTGACTTTGCCTCTACCCGCCGCCTTCACTACGCCACCGCTCTGGTCTCTGAACCTGCATGTCCTCCGTCTGTCGGGGGTACTCCTGCCCTCGGCAGTGACGTCCTGGTGGACTGCCAGTACGAGCTTGCTTTCCTGTTCGAGGCTGCTCCCCATCTCTGTTCCATGCTTCTAGTCCCTAAGGGTGATCCCGACGCTTTCGACATCCCGACCCCTCGCACTTACGCTGAGGCGGTCTCGGGACCCCGGGCCTCTTAGTGGATAGCTGCCACGGAGCAAGAGATGGCATCTTAGAGATCCACCGGCACCTACGTCGACGCAGTTCCCCCACCCGGGGTGAACGTAGTTGATGGCCGCTGGCTCTTCAAGGTGAAGCGCCCTCCTGGAGAGCCGCCTGTGTTCAAGGCGCGCTACGTGGCTAGAGGTTTCAGTCAGCGTAAGGGGGTGGACTTCTTCCAGACCTTCGCCCCGACCCCGAAGATGACTACTCTTCGGGTGCTGCTACACGTAGCAGGTCAGCGTGACTACGAGCTTCACTCCCTTGACTTCACCACTGCATTTCTTCAGGGCAGTCTACACGAGCAGGTCTACTTGCGCCACCCTCAGGGCTTCACTGGCACCTTCCCTCCTGGGACCCAGTGGCTCCTGCGGTGCCCCATCTACGGCCTGCGGCAGGCTCCCCGTGAAAGGCACGATACACTGCGTGCTACGCTTGCTGACCTGCAGTTCTTTCCGTCCTCTGCAGACCCCTCGCTCTTCGTTCGTGCTGGCCAGACCCCGTACTACATCCTTGTTTACGTAGACGACCTGGTCTTCGCCACAGCAGACATGGACGCACTGGCCTCCGTGAAGGTAGAGCTGCTGAAGAGACACACCTGCACTGACCTTGGAGAACTGCGCCACTACCTTCGCTTGCAGATCTCTAGGGACAGAGCAGCGCGCACCATCACCCTCACTCAATCACACTTGGTGCGTCAGGTCCTTCAGAGGTTCGGCCTTCAGTTCTCCTCCGCACAGCCCACTCCTCTGCCTTTAGACCACAGGCTCTCGGCTCCAGTTCCTGAGGAGTCAGCAGAGCCCAGTGGTCCTTACGCAGAGCTGGTGGGTTGCCTCATGTACCTGATGACTTGCACTCGCACAGCTCTCGCATACCCTTT